GGCGGAGTTTTGGCCAAATGTGCCTCGTCCCGTTGCCATCACTATCTATAACAGGCCAATGAAGGTACACAAAATTGTAGAAATATGAACTTCTAAGTTCTCTTCACATTTAGAGTATAAATTGCAGAAATATTCGAGATAAACAACCGCAGCAACGATGAACGTATGGTAAAATTGTAACTTCAACTATAACATACCCATGAAGGCAGACAAAAATGAAGAAATATCAAAGTGACAGAAACGCACTTCTCAATTAGAGTAGCTTCATATATTTAACACAACAACGAACAAACTAATTTCCCCAAACATGGTTGAACTGTAGTATAAAATCCAGCCATTTAATTTACAAACCAAAACACTAAACCCATTTAATGTTTGGCAAAATATGCAACCATTTAATTTCTGGCGACATGCAATCCAGCAAAAAATCCACCCAACCAATATCTGTCAACAGGCAAAAGTTTAAAAGTGCATAAACCCTAAAATCCAAACCCAAATTGAGCAAAACTCAAAACCGATTTCAAATGCATTTTAAAACAAACCAGATTAAAGTTAAAGATACCGCTGTCGTATATGTAAACTAGTCGATCCGCTTGTTGTCGATAAGTCTCCACTCAATTCGCTCTCACCGTTACCAGACTGAGTTTTTGAATGAGAGAGAGCGGCTCTTGATTTTGAGATCTAGCACCAATTGTTTATCTTGTAAATGAGATAAGGTCGGGGCTATTTTGGAAATATATTTTCTTCTTCAAAAGTCACAAGAAATTGCACATCAAAATATGCCACCTTGGTGTGGACACGGTTATGTATACCCTAATGTACATCAAGCATTACCCGAAATAAAATTGGGTATTTACTCTTCGATTGTGCTATATGTACGTAATGGTTTACATATAAATAATGTGGGGGCATATGTTTAGATCAAAATCTCTTCAACTAAATTTAAAAAATAAAAATAATCTTATTCATTCACTTTTTGACACCTTTTATGTATGTAAATCATTATGTGCGAGTAGCATTATTCAGGACTCTTATATGTTGAATATTTTTCATTTTTTCATGTCATATTTGAGTTTTACGAAATCAAAAGATAGTTAAACTACTGGAAAGATCAAAACCTGCAACGTTGCCACATTAGATATTACAAACTACGTACAATTGAGACACGAGGAAATAAACAAGAATGTCAAATCAACTATAAAGAGATTTTATTTTATTTTATTTTTTGAAAAAAAATATATTTTATATAACCTATTTGGTTTGGACAAAAAAATATATATATATTTAGTAGATTTTGATAAAAAAATTGTAGCAGTGGAAAAGTTGGAAAAATTATAAGTTACATAAAATGTGTCATTGAAAATTAATTCGAGATAAAATTAATTTTAAGAAATAGGAGTCAAAAGAGGCATACTAAGTGTTATGAAAAGAGAGAAAAAAGAATAAAATAAAAAAAAGTCAATAGACTTGTATGTGTTTTATTAAGTAACAAAACCCTATATTTATATGACAGAATCAGGGATACAAGGGTATAATTTCTAGAGCTGCAGGGTACTATTGTCATTCATTTGTGAACCCTAATAAATTTACTATTTACATTACCCCCCCTTGAATGACACACTACAAATTATCTGTCTTATTAAAATCTTGTTTGATAAAAATTCAATAGGACAAAAAATCAAACGAAGGAAAATAGTACAATTATTTTGAAATATAACAAATAAATTCTAGCTCATTAAAACCTTGCTAGGAAATCTCAGTGGGATAAAACCTATGCGAAAAAAAAAGAGTACAGTTACTCATCCCGATGTTGATCATTGAAAATCTTTGAATCGACACATTCCAATATTGTGAACCAATTTCTTAAATGTTGATGTCGGCAGTGCTTTTTTGAATAAATCGATCACATTGTCACTTGAGCGAATTTATTGAATATCAATGACGCCAATCTTTTGAAATACATTTGTATGAAAGAATTCTGGAGAAATATGTTTCGTCTAGTCATCTTGGATACATCCTTCTTTTGGTTGTACAGTACAAGCTACTTATCTTTATACAAAATTGTTGAACTATCTTTTATTGAAGTTAACCTGCATAATGCTTGGATATGATAGGTCATGTTCCTGAACCATACACATTCCCAGCCTACTTTATGGATTGCAATAATATCAAAATGATTTGAGGATTTTGCTGTCAATGATTCTTTCATAGATCTCCATGATATAGTTACTCCTCCACGTATAAACACATACCCCCGTTTGTGATTTAGTTTTATGTGGGCCAAAGAGATAATCTACATCTGCATATCCCACTAAAGTAGGTCTCGATTTTTGAGAATACAATAATCACAAATCAATAGTGCCCTTTAGGTAACGAAAAATATGTTTAACACAATTCCAATTTTTTTTAGTTGGTGTAGAACTATATCTTGTAAGAACATTTATAGAAAAAGCTAAGTTGGCTCGAGTGCAATTTGCAAGATAAATTAATACTCAAATTATACTAAGATATGATACTTCATGATCAAGACCATTTCTCCATCTTAAAGTGGATGAAATGAATCCTTTTTTACATCAATTGATCAAACAATCATAAGTAATGTCAATGGATATGCATTATCTATATAAAAATGTTTTAAACCTTTTTTTGTATATGTAGATTGATGAACAATTCATTGTTCTGGAAAATATTCAATATGCAACCCAAGATAAAATTTGATTTTTCCCAAATCTTTCATCTCAAATTCATTTTTGAAATAATCACCAGCTTTTTTGAGCTCTTCAAGAGTTCCGGTTCAATTTAAATTATCAACATAAACTGTCAAAATCGCAAATCGAATATTTGTTTTCTTTATGAACAGATAGACATCGTCATTTTTATAATCCTCATTCAACAAATATTCGCTAAGGCTAATATATCACATGCATCCAAATATTTTCAATCAATATAATGATCTTTACAATTTAATTGAAAAAATGGTTCTTGGGCATGTTTCATTTGCTCCTGATTCTTTAAGTCTTTAAGGGACTTTCTTATATATGTCACTATCAAGTGAACCGTACAATTAGGCAGTTACTACATCCATAAAGCGCATATCAAGCCTTTATGACAGTCAAATTAATTAAAAATTTAAAAGTGATGGTGTCCATTATGGGAAAATATATTTTCTCATGAATTGAGAAATCTGGAGCTACGAGTCGAGCTTTGTATCTTGTAAGTTCATTATTTTTGTTTCTATTTTTGTACAAAAATCCATTTGTATCCAACAAAGATTACATTTTCATGTGTTCAAACTGTTGTTCCAAACGCTATTCATTTTTCTAAAGAATTCAATTTCGCCTGTATGGCTTCTTTCCATTTTGGCCAGTCATTTCTATTTTGATAGTCTTTAACTGACTATGGTTTAGAATCCTCATCTTCCATAATATCGAAAGTCATATTAAAGACGAAAATATTGTTTATAACAACATTATTTCATTTCCATAATTTATGAAATAACATATAATTTATTGAAATCTAGTTATTTTCGGATACTTGTGATTCTTCAGGAATCATATTTTTAATATTTAATTGATTAATCTTTTCTATTATTACTTCTTTCGAAGTTTTTGGTTGGTCTTTCTCTTGTACTTTTCTTTTATGAGGTACAGAGTCTTTTAAATCAACTAGTCGACCACGCTTTTCATGTATTTAAATTCATTTGCTACAGCAAATTGTCCTATATAGGTATCAATTTTTGCTAGAATATTTTCTGCTGGTATATATGACTCTCAATTTTCTTGTGACAACAAATATATCCAGTAATTGATTTGCAACCTTTTGCAAATGAATGATTTTTTCAATCGTTTGTTTACATTGATTACTGTGAGGATCAAAATAAGATGGAGTTCTTTCATTCCAAGAAATTTTACCTTATTTTTCAAGATATAATTTTTCTCTTCCAAAGGTCGAAAAGTCATTTCACCAAAATGACAATTTGAAAAACGTGCAGTAAATAAATCACCCGTTTAAGGTTCAAGATATCTAATAATAGATGGTGAATTAAAACTCATATAAATCTCAAGTCTTTGTTCGAGATCCATTTTAGTACATTGTAGGGGAGAAATATGGACTTGGACAGCACAACCAAAAACTCTGGGTAAGAAATATCAGGTTCATAAACAAATGCAAGTTGCAAAGTGAATATTGATAATAAACAGTTTGTCTAATATCAACCAATGATGTAGCATGTAATATAGCATGACCCCAAACAGAAGCTGGGAATCATGTTTTCATAAGTAATGGTCTAAAAATAAATTGTAGATATTTAATAAACAAATCCACTAAACCATTTTGTATATGGACATGCGCAATTGAATGTTCAATTACAATTCCAATAACATACAATAATCATCGAATACTTGTGATCTAAATTCACCAGCATTGTTAAAACGAATAGTCTTGATTGAGTAATCGAGAAATTGCGCTTGTAATTTTATAATTTAAGATATTAGTCTAGCAAACGTTACATTCCTAGTGGAAAGTAGGCAAATATGTTACCATCCAGTAGAATAAACAATTAATATCATAAATTAACAAAATGGTCTACATGGTGGGTGCATTGACACACATATATCTCTATGAATTCTTTCCAAAAAAGTTGGAAATTCAATATTGACCCTTATAGTCGAAGATCTAATAACTAACATATCTTGCAAACATATACATGGCTAATCATTGGGTAAAAAAAATCCTTTAGTTCTTTAAAGGATGTTCATATAAGTTGTTTATTATTCGATGTGTCATTATAACTCTTAGTTATCCAAGTCGATTGTGCCAAAATATAAAACTTTTTGAGTCAACGAACTTCTGGTTCGTGACAATATTTGATTCAATTATTTTTCTAAATATATAATACATGACAGATGAGAGTGCATGAATTTTTTTTCTTTTATCTACTTCTGACTAGATACAAAAGAAGTTATGCAAATATATTTAATATTATTTTCTTGCATCGTCTTGATGTGATATCCATTGTAGAGGATATATTTAAAATTAAGCAGATTTTTTCTAGATTTGTTAGAATGAACAACATTGTCAATATGTAATTTTGCATTATTTGATAAAATAATACAAGCTCTTCTAAAGCCTTCAACGATATTTTATGCACCTGATATCATATTAATATTATTTTTTACTAATGTTAACTCCCTTTTTTTTTTTTTTGGGTCTTGAAGAATGTATATGTAATTGCACTATCAATCAAGCAGATATCTTGACAATCCATTATGAATCTATAAATATAACAAAATAGACATATTTAAAAAAACAACTTTAATTTAAATTTAAAATGGTAAACATAATTTAATACTGCAAAATTAACGAAGCATAGTAAAGTTTCAAATTTTGTGAAAAGTAAAAAATATATTTCAAAAATAAAGGGACATATTAGAGACATAGAAAATAAACTAATTTATATCTTTCATTACACCACCTCAATCAAATGACCAATATTTCCATTTGAATTAACAAAGAATTCGGAGACATCTAAATGAGTCAAATCAATTAGGTCATCATAATTAGCAAAATTTGTCTTCATTTTTTCCTTTCCTTTGATTGATTTTTGGTAAAGATTCATAAGATATTTTGTCGTACGACAAGTACGTGTTCAATGCCCTTCCATTCCATATCTAAAGCAACTTTCTTTGTATTCCTTTTTGGATGTGCTACTTTGCTTTGTATTTTTTGAAATTGTTGACTAATTCTTGATAGCTTTATTG